CAAATTTTACATTGTATAATGATGAGTTTCGAACTTGAACCATTTCTCATAACATATCAAGCATCTTCCACTTCATCCGTACAGCTTATTGGTTAAATTTCCAATCATCTTTGATGTACTCCTTTCTTTCCAAAGATGCTTGATCTCCAAGTCAAATTCATGCAATCTTCCAATCTTAATTTTCTTCACGAAAATTTTTCTGGGATATCTTCTTGAGTAGCATTGACGTGAATATTATATCATTCATCTTCTTCTTCAATTTGTCATTTTCTCCAGACAAATTCTTGATTTTAGGCTTTATATCTTCTTCTTCTATTTTCATGCATCTTCCTCTGTTTTTCTCTTTTCAATTTAAATAATTTTCTGATCATGGTCTAAGACTCTACTAGACCTATGAAATAAAATTGGGGGATCTACAAATACATATTTGGCATATCAAAACCATTACACTTTATTCCTAACAATTTCCCCCTTTTGATAATGCCAAAACCTATACTCAGTCATTGGCTTTAAGTCTTTGAAAAATAATTATTTTTCTCAATTTTATTTTACAAAGCCAAGATGAGTTTAACAAATGGTTTTCTAGACACAATCAAAAGAAAACTTGTGAATTAATTTTTAGACAAGCTCCTAAACGCATCTTGAATTATTTTATTTTTGATCATCATTTTTTTTTTTAATTTTTATGTGCGTTTTGACATTCCTTGTCTTTTTAATTCACGAAGGTCTAATTACATCAAACAAATAAAATATTATACTCAAAATAGACCATGGGAAATTATTATTGAGATATTTCGAATATTTTAGAGAAAAACGCAACAGAGGTTCGAAAATAGCAGAAACATCAGCTTAAGAGATTTTTCATATTACCTTCTGGGTTTCTTCTCACCAAAGTCTTTCTTCAAAATTTCTTTGACATGTTCTCTGAGCTTGAAGAAATCATCTTTGAACTTTGCATTCTGAAATCTCTTTGTGACTTGCCCGGCCATGTAATATCCAAAAGCTTCTTTGATATTGTTGCCTGGAAGAACTCCAGCTTCCCACCATAAGACACATTCTTCGAAACTTCTTTCTTCTCCAAGATTCATGTCCATATTTCCAGTCAAATCTCTTAGTTCATACTATATCACGGTTCTTTTCCTTTTGCCTTCTTCTTCTTCTTTATTCTTGTCCGATATCCATTGGGCATGATCGGCTACAGGCAATTTTTTGATCATTCTTGGTAGATTTTCCTTAGTCCATATTGTTGTCTGAGTGACGGTACCTTTAGAGCATTCAAACCAGCCACGAGTTTCAGCAACTTTCGATGTACTCGTACCAAGACTAGGATTCGCGAACTGAGCAAAACCAATCTGAGATGGTCCTTGTGAGGATTGTCCGCGGCTTCGGCCTCTACCTTGAGTCGATATTACTAGCTGTTGTTGGCTTCCAAGAATAAATTCTTGTTGTTGCAAAGCCAAGTGACTGAGAATTTCTTCCCCCCTTTTGGCATTATCAACAAAAAATGCAAGGGTTTTACAATCTCGGTCTTGGTTTGCTTTCACAGCTTCAACACTATTGTGTGTTTCAATGGAAACAGCTTGAACATTTTCCAGCTTGTTTGTTGCAACTGTGAGCTCAACTTCAAGTTTCTTGATTCGGCTTTCTTGATCTTGAATCGCCTTGATTTGTCGCAAGTGGCGTTCGTTGTGAATCTTTTCAGCAGCTTCACGTTCCTTCTTCATGAGTTGAATCACTTCAAGTAAGCCTTTTGTTAATTCTCCTTTCAAGATCCTTTCAGCTTTGTCAATCTGAGTCTTCAAAATATTTTTATGCTCCATTAATTCCTTCAGATTGATTCGTGTATTCGTGTGTTGTTGATCCATCTTTTGATTTTGTTCAATCAACTTTTCTCCAATGGTTTGACAAACAACATCACCGGATTCGGCAACTTTGGCAAATAAGGATGTAAAAATGCCATCTTCTTGATCACTTGTCTGTACAATATTTTGAGGAAATCCGAATGGACTCCTTCTTGGATCTGTGAGAACAAGTGTATCAACAAGTTGCATCCTTTCTTCTTCTTCAGGTGATTCGGCCTCTTGATTGAGATCACCAATCTCTTCTTCTAAAACTTCTGTTCTTGTGTAGTTGTCTGCAAATATATCTTCACTTTCTAGAACAGGACCCATGATAGGCATGGTAGACTCGGTATGGTGTACTGGCAATACACTGGATAAATCCTCTGTGATTTGTTGTCTACTGTCAGTAGCAACTTCTACTGCAACTTCCACTGGTATATCTCTTCTTATTTCTTCTAACATTTGTTCTCTTACTTCTTCTCGTACTGACACTTCAACTTCATTAGATCCCACAAGTTGTTCATTGCACTCCAGATTCACATTAATTGTTGTGGGGGTCAGATCAGATATCAATAAAGAAGCATCATGGACTTTCACAGGTATGTCCATATGATTTTTAGTGCTCATGATTGGTACATCAATGAGTGCCGTCCCTTCAGTTCTTTCATCAAAAATTTCATTATCCATAAGAGATGTATTACCTGGATAATGATGTGTGTCATAGACTGACCTTTGTAGAGCTAACTGTAGTGAAATTTGATTCAGTCTTTCTTGTTCCGCTATACGGTCTTGAGCCGTACTACCTCCTTTTATTGGTGGTTTTCCTTTTTGTCTGGCTGCCTTTTCGTGTAGCTTCATATGATAGACTTGATTTAAATCCATGTTGAGTGCATCTAGCATCACGTTAGTTCCGCACCATTCTAAAGAAAAATCTTCACTCCGTATCAAATCTGGGGTGATTTTTGACATGAAAGAATGATATCTTTCAAGTTTCCATTCTCTCCAAGTTTGCACTATTATTAATTCTCTTAGCAGCTCCGGATCATCTTGAATGAGAGCTGAGTCAAAAACTATAGGTCCTGCACTTCCTTCGGCTGCAGATTGACTCGAGAGTCTTCTTTGTAGATCATTCGAAATTTGCACATCAACTCCTGCAAATTCCATTCTTGTTGTATCGTCAACTCCTTCGGCCAATATGTTCGGTTCGGCATAGTTGAGTGGAACAACGGTCATAGCTGTACTGATGGCTTCTTGATCTCTTCCGGACCGATTACTTGATCCAATTTTATTACTTGAGGCTGAGATTGCTTTGCTGCTTCTCATTCTTGAGCTTTGAGGTGTCTTTGAACTTATAGAACTCCCACCTTCTTCTCCTTTTCTCTGGCTTGATCTTTTCCCAAAATTCGGGATGAATTTTCTGAAGAGTACTCGGTAGATTCCAATATTTTTGTGCTTTCTTATTGGAATTGTCTTATTCCTTAGCAGTTCTCCAATGATGATACCATATCCAACATTCTAATAGAAACGATCCACCACAACAGGTTTCTTCATTGGTTTGGCAGCTTGCACAAATATAATTATCTTCCTGTAGATAAATCTTGCCCAATTGAATTTTATTCCTTTCATAATTCCGTCCATCAAGCACACTGTTGATGCGGTCAAATCTTCAGTACTTCCCAATTTGTGTTCAAGAATCTTGTAAATCATGTCCACCAACATCTCATATTCAAACTTCAACACGTTCTTATGAGCGGATACATCAGAGAAAATTGGAGTCGTAGAACCACGAATCTCGTTCCAAAAATTTTGAACAACATAGCTGTGAGATTCTAGCATTAACTGAGATTCAAGAAAATTGAAGCACTTGTGTATATCATCCTCAATTATTGAAACTTCTGATCCTCCAACTCGAGATTTGATCGAGTCCTTATCAACGACTGCATGTAGGTAGAATTCAGCTACATCTTCTTCAAATGTTCCAAAGTAGTTGTAGGTGGAAATCAAACAGTCCGCAGTCTTTTAGAGCTTGAAGAATTTTCTCGGTCGTGTCCTTGTCGGTAGAACCTAGTTTGAAAAACTCAGGGTTAACTACCATCCCATTAGTCACTTGTTGCGAGAGGGCTAGGATGGGATCGATTTGCTTTCTTTCAGATTGAGCCATGATGATCAGATCGGTTTATAGGAGAGGGATAATTATTCAAGAGAGAGTTTCCTGATATTCTGAAGGTCTGAAAAAGTTTTTGAGAGATAAGTGAGGGGTTTATATGAAGAGGGTGACTCGAAGGGTTTTTCGAATTTAAAGAAAGAGAGATGAGACTTCTCAGTTGTACCCTTTGGTTGAGGTGTGTCGATAGGGTGAGTTTAGGGTAGATGAGTCATCTGATAGATGGTGTTACGAGGAAAGAGAAAATATCATCATTAGCAGACAAGAGCATTTAATGCTCACACCTCTTTAGAAATACCCAATGCACGTAAGGTGTAGGGGGTGGAGATTTGAAGAGACACTTAGAGAGGATTTGGGTTCTGATCTCCTTGAGATTTGTTTATGGGGATCGATTGAGAGGGTGATTTTTCTGACAGGCGAGATGGGGGTGTCGATTGAGGGAGAGGGTAAATCTGTTTGGAAAGATTTGATTTAGGAGAGGATTATGGGGGGAGGTTTAGGATGGGTGGAGGTTTAGAAAGGGTAGGAGTTTATGGGTGGAGGTTTGATACCCAATTAAACTCTAATTTTCCTCCTTTATCTCCTGATTTTTTTTTTTTTTTTTAAAAGAAGTTTATTAATAAAAAGGAAGGCCAAGGCCAGTACAAGGTCCGGATGGACTTAGGCCCCACATGGCCTAAATCCTACTAATAAGCTAAGTAAGGAAAAGTAAGATAAGACAAGATAACATAACGTGGCCCCCGGGGCTCTAACATGCATGCCCCAAGCCCTATGCTAGCTATCTCTAACTAATCGTAGGCAGGAGCCAGTAAGTAGACTGAGATGCTGCACCAAACAACTGCATCTCCGCCCACCATGTAATCTGAAGCACAAGTAGCGAGGATAGATGCCTCGCGTGTCACAAACGTGGCCCCCCAGCCAGTTGCACTACAGCGACTACACACCATAATGCCGCCTAGCCGGGATGCACCACAACTGCAACACCTCCCGGAACGCTATCGACTGCCCTCAAAGATAGCAATAGCACGCAAAAGCAGAGATGTACAGCTAACAATGGCACGCAGGCTTAAGTCCAGTAATGGCACGCAGTCCTGAGACAGAAATACAGGTAGATCCCGAGCCAATAAATCATCAACACGGCACAAGGCAGCCAATAGCAGAACTCCCGATTAGCACCAGCACGAACCAGAACCAACCCAAACGGGATTAGCTACTATGGGCCAGCAGCAAGCCTGGACTACTGCCAACGGATTTGAAAAACACCTACCCGGCCACCGTTCAGCCCGGGCTATGATGCAATTTTTTACCGCTTGCATCAACGTTGAGACCTGGTCTTTTCCAAAGATGCCTGCAAAGGCGACACCAAAAAGAGCCCAAGACCAGTTCATGCCTCCGAGGTCAAAGAAGCAGCACCTGCAAAAATAGAAACAAGATAGAACAAGCTAGCATCGTGTTCCCATGACCCAACTATCACATCTATCTCGGGAGAGTGTTTAAGTTTATACCAGGCTGACGCGAACAAAAGCAACCCCCCAAATAATGGCCCGTCCCCCCGGAGTCCAGAAGGAACTCAGCTACTATTGGCCAGCAGCAAGCCTGACCAGGTCAACGGATTTGATAATCCTGCCCGGCACACCGTTCAGCCTGGACTAGGGTGCCCTGTTGTACCGCCAGCACCTTACGTTGAGACTCAGCACTGCGAAGCAGGCTTCCCGGTCCCCAGAGAACCTCACACACTCACTGTCTTTTAACTCCCATCCACTCTTTCTTTTCCTCCCAACTCTCCTTTTTGTCACTCCAATTCTTTTCACTCTATTCTTTTCTTTCACTCATTCTTTCCACTCGATTCTTTTCTATCCCTCAGCCTTTTCTTTTCTTTTTTTCCATCTCTTTTCCTTTTCTTTTTTCCTTTTTTCTTTTCTTTTTTCTTTTTTCTGTTTTTTCTTTTTTTCCAAATTTCCAACTAATCAAACAAAGTACAAGTACAATCACGGGGGATCATCAATATCAAAAAACACATAGGGCACATCATCATGTATCAGTAAAGCACGGACCCTACGTGGCAGATCATTGAGGCTCCGAAAGATGGCCTCCCCCGGCTTATCCACCGCCCAGTTAGCTAGCGCCTGTGCAGGCATATTGGCCCTGGACGGGCACACAGAAGCAGTAACCACCCCACAGGAACACAGAAACCGGAGTCTGGTCACAACATCATCTAGAATCCACGGCGGACGAACAGAGATATCAACGTAGCTAGCCAACTCCGCCCAAGTGGACTCTATATCAATCAAAGTAGTTCCCCCGGCCAGGCACCATTCCAGGCAAGAGAAAAGGACCCGGAACATTCCCCGGGCGTGCTCCCCGTGGCCAGACCACGCAACCCCGTAGCAGAAGCCACCCTCCTGGTTGCGCACCACGGCCGCAGCCCCCCAGCCGCCGAAGACCGAGAAAGATTGATCTTTAACGCCCCGGCAACCGGGGGAGACCACCTGACCGTCCTAATAACACGCCTCGGCACATGTGCCTCCAAGTATGCCACAATAGTCCTCCAGTTAGAGGGCAGGATATGCTGCATGGGCCAACGCCTAAACAGGCATTCCGCCACCCCCTTCGCCACCCCATGCATCACCCGTGCAACGCTGGGTGTGTCTCGGCCGTACATGCACCCATTACGGTGCTTCCACAGCTCCCACAACACCAGATACGGCACCCTGCAAACAACAAAAGACAAAAGAGGGTTACGCGCCCCCGCCCGACCCCATCCTGCAATCAAAGTCCTAAGACTCCGGTGTCGCAAGTAGAGGCTGAGGGACGCCAAAACATATCTCCAAGCAGCTCTTGCTGTTTCCCCAGAATAAAAGATGTGATCAATAGACTCGGGGACCGGGGCTGGACAACACCGACACCTCGAGACGATCGCATGACCGAAACGGGCCAAGATGTCATCCGTGGGAAGCCGCCCTCGGAACACCCTCCAAGCCAGGAAGGACACCTTAAAAGGAAGGTGCTTGCGCCAACACTTAGCTAAGAGCGGGTCCGGTGCAGTGGGCAAAGCAGGCCTAAGAAAGGCCTTAGCAGAGGAATAAGAAAACATACCGTCGGACGCCACGGTCCAGAGTGGGATATCACGCGGGCCCTGCCCCAAGCGGGACAGGTCCGCCCCAATCCCAGCAAATGCCAAGTCATCGTGGTCTGTCAAATCAAGCTGGCCATCCCGCACATAGTCTAGAAGTAACTCCCGGGAGTAGGAAACCCCCCGGTGTGGATAAAGCCTGCCAAGTGGGCCCAGACCCGACCAGTTGTCCCACCAGAAACTAACCCGGCCTTGGAATAACCGCCAAGTGAGAACCCCCTCGACCTCATCACGTACCGCCAGCATCCTCTTCCAGGTGTGCGAATCTCTATTCTGAACCAACTTAGCAACCGGGTGAACCCGACTGCAATATTTCGCCCTCATAAAGTCCGACCATAAAGTATGATCTGTCCGGAAATTCCACCACAATTTAGCACTGGCCGCCCTTACCATCAAGTCTAAATCCATGAACCCCACCCCCCCTTCCTTCTTAGGACGAGAGAGGGTTTTCCACAAACTCCAGTGGTACCGGGCGCCCCCTGACTGTTTCCAGAAAAAACTCGCATAACATCTCTCCAAATCCCGTATGACCTGCTTAGGCGGAGCGCAGGCCGAAAATATGTGCAACGGTATGGCCTGCAAGACTGAAGAGATCAAGATTGCCTTCCCGCCCTTCGAGAGCAGCCGGCGTTGCCAACTCAAGCATCTAGCCTTAACTTTATCAATCACCGAGGCAAAGTAGATACACTTTTTACGGCCTATATACACCAGGCAGCCCAAGTATGTAAAAGGAAACTGTTTATGCACACAGCCCGTTGCCCGGCAAATCTGCTCAATCTCGTGGGCCGGAGTACGAGGGTGCATGTAAAACGCACTTTTCTGAAAGCTCACCAACTGTCCCGAGATCTCCTCGTACTCCTTTAACGCCCCAATCACGACCTCAATAGCTCCCAACCTGGCCGTACTAAAAATAATAACATCGTCCGCAAAGGCCAGGTGGTGAATATGTGGTGTCCGTGGCGGCTGTGTAAACCGGGGCACCGTAGTGCCATCATAGACCCGCGCAATGTACACCGACAAGACCTCAGCTGCAATCACAAACAGAGTCGGGGACAGCGGGTCCCCTTGCCTGAGACCTCGCGTAGACGTGAAAAAGCCCTCTTTGACTCCATTCACAATCACTGAATACCACACGTTAGACACGGCCCGGAACACCATATCTATCCAGACCTCACAGAAACCCAGGCGGCGCATCACCGAAGTCAAGAAAAACCATGATACCCGGTCATAAGCCTTAGCCATGTCTAACTTAAGGACTATGTCCCGGTTCTACAAGCTCAACCCGTGGCACATCTCAGACGCTAGAAGCACATTATCTGTAATAGACCGGCCCGCCACAAACCCACTCTGCTGCGGTGACAACACCCGAGGCAAGACTGTAGCCATCCGAACCACCATGAGCTTCGTGATAAGCTTACTACTGAAGTTGCATAGGCTGATGGGTCTGTAGTCCGCAAAAGTCTCCGGACTCGGCTTCTTCGGCAACAGGACGATAGATGTGTGCGTGATAGCCCTGGTAAATTCCCGTCCCGCAAAGTAGCTCCGAACCATGCTGACAACATCATCCTGAATAATATCCCAGCAAGCCTTATAGAAGGCCCCCGAGAAACCATCCGGCCCTGCCGCACTCGTAGAGTTCATCTGCATTACCACCGCCTTCACCTCCTCCACCTCAGGCACCGCCGTCAAAACCTCATTATCCTCCTCTGTAACCAACCGTGGGACACAGTCCAGCCTAGTCAAATCAAAACCCCCAACCTCCGCGGTGAACATATGCTCAAAGAAAGAGACCGCCTGATTAGCAATCCCTTGCCTATCCTCTAGCCACACACCGTCACCACCCTTCACTCTGTGTATATATAGCTTTCGCCTACGTTCCTTAACAACTGAGTGAAAGAACCGGGAGTTTCTATCTCCATCCTGAACGTCGGTGATACGCGCCTTCTGCTGCCAAAATTCTTCTTCTATAGCAATCTGTTTCTGTAACAAAGCAACACCCTTTTTATATTCAATTAAAGCATTCTCATCATCCGGGTGTTGCTGTAAGGCAGCCTCTAGGGCCTGAACACTATCCTCATACTCCCGGAGCTTCACAAAGATATCCCCAAATACAGTCTTGCTCCAGGTGCTCAGAACTTTCCCCAACCTATTCAACTTGGTGGCTATTACAAACATAGGGGCCCCCTCTACAGGAACCTGCCAGCTATCACGCACCACCCTCAGAAAATCCTCGTGCTTAATCCACACGTTCAGGAACACAAAGTGCTTTGGAATTACCTGCATACTTATCAACTCAAAGGATATTAGAAGCGGACTGTGGTCAGACGTAGACTTTGACAAATGCCATACGGATGACGTAAAAACCGACTCCCACACCGAGGTGTAGAGGAGCCGATCCAAACGCATCCATATAGCCGCCTCTCTACGGCGCCCATTCCACCAAGTAAAACAGGAACCGTAATAGGCCGCGTCGATCAAGTCACACACACTGACACACTCCTGAAAATCAGTAGTCTTCCGGTGTGAATATGGTAGACCACCTTTTTTCTCGTCCACACTTAACAGACAGTTAAAATCACCCGCAACCGCCCAAGGCACACCCCCGGGGATCATAGAAAAAATAGCTTTCAGCTCAACCCACAGGGGGTCCCGGAGGCGTACCTTGGTCTTGGCATAAACAAAAGAGAGCCAGAAAGGCGTGAGAACCATAGAGTGTACACAAGATATCGTAACACACTGCTCAGTCTGACTCTCAAATGTTACTGCCAAGTCATTATTCCAAAATAGCCAAATTTTATTATTATTAGAAGCAAAACCATTATCAAAATTAAAACGAATTCTAAAAAACTCAAGCCAATCAGACGAGCTGAAAGGCTCGAGCAGACAAAGTACAACAGGAGAATGCATTCTTAACAAAACATGGATCCTACGTGCCGAACCCCGGGAGGACACCCCCCGCACATTCCACACGAGCATCTTCATATAGACAATAGACCACCCGGCTCCGAGTGAGGGGAGCCCCCCCCTTTTCTGGTATGTATAAGCCGACGTCCTACCGGGCCTACACCATCAAGCACCCGATCCTCAGAGTCTGACCCCGACTCCGGGGCCCACTCCTCACGCTCATGACCAGGCACCGGCACGTCAGAATCTGACCAAGCCCTTTCCCTCTCCCTTCTCGGCCCCCAGGGAGCCTTAGGAGAATGAGAAAAAGGAGTGAAAGAGAAAGATGCCTGAAGCGGGCTCTGCTCAGCCCGCCCTCCCGAGGGACTAAAACCTCCCGTAACCTCCGGGATAGTGGACTGGCCAATCCCTACCCCGGGCGCTGTCGTGCCTACAGATATCCTGCTGTCAGCCGGGGTAGATGGCAATTCGCCACCCCCCGGCCCCACAATAGCCTCCTCAGGGGCTAAGTCCTCATCCTGGAGCACGGCAAACCCATTACTAACCGGCACCGGGGTAGGCCGGCTAGGTGACAGGGCCCGCCATACCTTATTACCTGTACCAACACCCGGCCCCTAACTATTGTCCATCGGGGCCTTACCTTTTATTTGCTTTTCTTTATTACTTTGTTTTTTTCTCTGACTAGCCGTCATGTCCCGATGATCCAACACAATAGCTGATCCCCGGTCCTGGCCGACCCCCCCGGAAGGGAGCGGGCCAGCATCAGCCATTGATGTCGACACATGTGGTGCCGAGGAGCGTGGTGCGCTTGCCCCTCCACCGGGGACACGGCAACTGTTGGCCAGATGGCCTTGTTTCCTGCAGTTCAAGCAATACGGGGGGATACGCTCATACTCTATCACCTGCCAAAACCCCACGGCCTCCCGATCCGGGCGCGCAGTCCCTAACCGGATGAACATCTTGCGGCACCGGGGTTTCAGCAAGTCAATCTCAACCTTCACCCTAGCCACACTAGGCCTGGTGAACTTAGCCGTAGGCGTATCCACCTGTAAAAATCTTCCACCTGATTTCCTTCTCAAAATCGTGTACAAAAACATAATCACAATCAAACATCTCGTTAGTAGCATAAATTACTCCACAAATAATTAATCACACATACCAATTATATTAAACACACCCACGGTAATTTCCAATTAAAACAAACAAATTTTGGAAACTAACAAATTAACACACATATTCCAAATTAATAACTAGAAACAACTTCACATAATTTGCACACAAATCAGATTCCAAAATATTTTAGAAACTAACAAAAATATTAATTTTTAGCTCAGGTTTCTAAAACATTTTAAAACAAATTATAACACATAAACCATATATGTACGAAACACATAAAATCACATTTTTAAAACAAGTTGTTCATGCAAACAAATTAATTAATTTACAAAACATGAACAAAAACTTATAGACTAAATAACACGTTAAAACATGCAATTTTAAACAGATTGTCAAATAAAACACGAATTGCACATTTCATCAGATTAATTTGCATGGTATATGATTTCACGTTAAATAACACATGCAAATACACAAATAAATTCCTAACACATATTGCAATTTTATCACATAAAAATTTCGAATAAACATATGCATATAATCACATAAAACAATTTATTCACGTAAAATAATTTATTTTGAGCACAAGTATCAATTTAAATAGAGAGATTAAGTCCAGTGGTACTTAGCTCATTTCGATCATTCCCAACTCGTGTCTTAAGGTAGAAAATCTCGTTTCGCATAAAGGCTTCGTGAGAATATCAGCAACTTGGTTTTCCGTAGGGATATATTCGATCTTTAGATTCTTCTTTTCAACGTGATCCCTTATGAAGTGGTGTCGAATGTCGATATGTTTGGTTCTTGAATGAAGCACCGGATTGTGAGTGATAGCGATTGCACTAGTATTATCACAATAAATACTAACATCATCACAATTAACTCTGTAATCCTTCAATTGTTGCTTCATCCACAAAATTTGCGCACAGCAACTTCCTGCAGCAATGTATTCGGCCTCGGCGGTACTAGTTGCGATGGAATTTTGCTTTTTGCTGAACCAAGAAACAAGCCTTCCCCCCAAGAACTGGCATGTCCCGGAAGTGCTTTTTCTGTCTATTTCGCAACTTGCAAAATCCGCATCTGAAAAACCCGTTAGAGTAAAATCTGTACCTTTTGGGTACCACAATCCAACATTGATTGTGCCTTTCAGATATCGTATGATCTTCTTTGTTACGATGAGGTGGCTTTCTTTTGGATTTGCTTGGAATCTTGCACACACTCCCACAGCATAAGAAATGTCCGGCCTGCTTGCAGTAAGATATAGAAGAGAACCAATCATTCCTCTATATTTTGTTTGATCGACATCCTTTCCATCTTCATCTTTGTCTAGCCTTATTGATGTGCTCATTGGAATTTTGATCGATGATTTTCCATCAAGGCCAAACTTCTTTATCAAGTCGCGGGTGTACTTTGCTTGATTGATGAATACTCATTCTTTCAGTTGTTTGACTTGTAAGCCCAAGAAGTAATTCAATTCACCCATCATGCTCATTTCAAATTTATTCTGCATAAGCTTCGAAAATTTCTCACACAAAGAATTGTTAGTGCTTCCAAAAATAATATCATCAACATATATTTGCACTAATAAAATATGATCACCATCTTGAATTCTAAATAGAGTTTTGTCAACAAGGCTTTCGGTGAATCCACAACTTATCAAGAACATTGACAAAGTATCATACCAAGCTCTAGGTGCTTGTTTCAACCCATACAATGCCTTTTTAAGTTTGTAGACTTTATCACATTCGCCTTTTACCTCAAAACCTGGGGGTTGTTCGACATAAACTGTGACACCCTAAAAATCCACATTTCAACCCATGAATTAATTGAGTAATTAATTCTATTTCTTTTGAGGAATTGATTCCTAAAATCCTGATTTTTAATACTCAAGGACAAGTATTTGACTAGTCAACCTTTAAGTTATGTTGTACCTTGTGCTTTGAGGGGAGTTCCCTTGTTCCTTACACTTTCTAAAGCTTAGTAAGGGTATTCTTCTCTTTTCACCAAGAGTTAGTATTGTAACCTAACCTAGAAGACTTCTTCATTTCATTCCTTACAATTCTTAGAAAATTTGCTCTACCTTCTCTCTAGAAAAGAAGTGTAGCTTATTCTCCAAGCCAAGTTGAGACCCTTGTCAAGATTTCAAGTTTTGCTTCAAAGGTTCAACCTTTCACCTATTTGGGCATCTAGGAGGGTAAGATCTAAGTTTATCTAGTCTTTTTGGT